TGATGTTCAATCAGCATGCTTAACAAGCCTTTCAGGCAAAGATTTGAGCAAATTCGGAACTCTTAGCCATCTATTGTATACCGACGATGACCCGAAAAATGATGCTGCCATAAAAAGTGAACATGGTACTCATGTTCAGCTTGCCAAATGACCCCCTAGACGAAGTTTGGGGCAAATTCGTGATTTTGACCCTCATCAATCCTACCATATTTCCACCGGATGGCACTACCGTGCACTGCTTCGTAATAACTATATTATACATGAACCAATATGTGTGTACAGTATACTTTGGAATATTCGAGAATTTTTTCGAATAATCGAATAACCGAATATATTCGAAAATCAAAAATGTTGAATAATCGAATTCGAATATTTTCAAAAACAAAAAATGTCGAATATACGATATCGAATATTTTCGAGAAACAAAAATATCGAATAATCGAATATCGAATATTTTCGAAATAAGCAAATCGTCAAATAATCGAATATCGAATATATTCGAATTGGAAAAAATCCGATTATTCGAATATTTTTGAGAAAAACAATCCGGATAAACGAATATTTTGCATCGATTATGTCGAATATTCAAACAAATTTTGATCGAATTAGCACAATGGAGGACTCTATGCAGTGGGCAACTTGGTCAACAAACGATGGTTGCTGGTATAGCAATCAAAATTGTGACGCTGTCATTTAGTTATTCGCTTATACGAAATTGTCGAATAATCGAATAACTTCCGAAAATAAATATTCGAATGTTCGAATGTTTTCAAAAATCAAGTTTTTCGAATAACCGAATAATCGAATAAATTCGAAACTGACAAATTTCGAATAAGCGAATATCGATTATATTCGAGATTTTTACATTTTCGAATAATCGAATTTCGAGTAAAATTCATTCGAATACTTTATTCAAATACTCGAATTTTTATTCGATTCGGTCCAAAGTATAGTGTACAGCCTGGCTCAATCCCAACCAGGCCAGAATTGGCATGGCGGGAGTCTGCGTCGTTAGGCCTAAGGCATACCTCCCGCGATTTCAGTCTCGCGGCGCGATTTCCAGCTCGGACATTAGTTCCGAGTCCGCCGCGCCGGCGCACCTAACTGTATGGTCGCGCCGCATTTGTGTTAAGGGCCGGGCATACTTCAAGCGATCTCAGTCGCGACGCGATTTGGCAATTCGCCAGAAGTCTTCAGATCCAACACTAGCAAACTGCACATGCATAGTGTGTATAACTTACGCGGATCGATAAGATGCCCTATTTTTTGTACATTTGAAATGTGCTTAGAGTGAGTTATGGGCAGTTGTGATACTGCCAAATCGGGTCGCGACTGAAATCGCGTGAAGTATGCCCGGCTCTTTAGACTGACGCCGCGACGAATCGCGGGCCATTTTTGGACGGGCATACTTTCGCAAACGGTATCTTCACGATATCGTTGGAATTGAGCGATGTCGCGTCGCTGGTGCTGCACCAGCGACGGGCATATCGCGCGAATTGCTTCTTCTTTTTGGAAAGTTTTGTATTTTTTTTGCAAATGTGAATCTCATTTAGGACTGTTCCATCTCACACAATCGCTTCCTCTCTACATGAGAGGAGGTTGGTCATCGAGCATTCCATACCATTAATCCTTGAGAACAACACATGCGAAGTGTATAGTATGGAATGCTTCCCATATGTCACCACACCCTTTTTGTTAGCATTTATTGTTCTCGCAATACGCTAATTCTACTGTTATTGTTCAAACAACAAGTAAATGATGACCAAATCTCGAATGTTTTCGCCATAATTCCTGAAGTAGAGATGTGCAGTCTTGGCTGCTTAAGCATGTATGTATGATCGTTCGCAGATTGGCAGACAAGAGCTCGCGCAGCACTCGTTGTCAAAATATGCCTAATCAAAGTCTTTTACAGGGCCGAAAGCATGGCATTTCTGTTACGAAGCTAACGTATATGCCTACCGGTATCTGAAAGAGTGAACTCAAAACTTTATGAACTGTAGTCGATTTTATCGCAGATGTTAACTTGCGCCGGTACAAAAACCTTGGTAAATACGAAGATGAGTGTGAATCCATATCCTTGTTCGTTTGCTGTAAGGCTCCCGCCAGAGTGCCGAAGTTATGCCAGCGCTACGCCAGCATTTCGATCAATACACGTGTATTTCATTGAAGACGTCAGCTAGCCCCGCCCCAACGAAATACACGTGTATCGATCGAAATGCTGGCGTAGCGCTGGCATAACTTCGGCACTCTGGCGGGAGCCTAATGTTCTCTGGGCGCTATTCCACATAAGTTGACCCGAAAAATGAAAATCGTGAATTTCGCTAAAACTTCGTCTAGGGAGGTTATTTGGTACGCTAAACACGAATATGATGTTTATTTCGTGCGACAGCGCCATCTGGTGGAGTTACGGTGGGTACACGGTAGGGGGCCAAAATCTCAAAATTCGCTGTAACTTTGTATAGAGGGGTTATTCGACATGCTGATTAGAAATTTCACACTTTCTCCGCACAAAAACGTCTCCCTGCATGGTTACAGTAGGTTTGCGGTAGGGGTCAAAATCACAAATCGGCAAATGTATCTTTCCCCTGCGCTTTGCTTAGGCAAAAGCCGCAGCGGAGTGTGTAGCGAGCGACGGTGGTCATGTGTGCAAAGCTTCACGATCATCCGAATCGCCATACACCCGTTTCGGGATAAACTATGTTTTACACCCGTTACCGTGTAGCTACCGTAACCCGAGAAAATGACGCTACGGTTCGACACCGATGTGATATTTGGCATCAGCGGGCCGAATAACCCCTCTATGCAAAGTTACGGCGAATTTTGAGATTTTGGCCCCCTACCGTGTACCCACCGTAACTTGGGAAAATGACACTACAGTACGAAACCAATGTGATATTCGGCGTCAGCGGGCCGAATAACCCCTCTAGGCCAAGTTTCGGGCAAATCCGCGATTTTGACCCCCTATCGTAATCCTACCGTAACTCCACCGGATGGCGCTGTCGCACGAAATAAAATCATATTCGTGTTCAGCGTACCAAATAACCTCCCTAGACGAAGTTTTAGCGAAATTCACGATTTTCATTTTTTGGGTCAACTTATGTGGAATAGTACCGTTCTCTGAAAGCATATGGTGCCACATTCTGTTCAAATTTTTTTGAAAAAATGCACTTCAGACAAACTGGCGCAAATTCCCCAAAAGTACGTAAAATGCGATGTAGTGTGTGAGCGTTCCACAATCGCAAGACGGTACGGCCTGTGAGCGAGCAGTAAGCGATTTCTACGCAATGATCCGTCGCCCAGGCAGCCGATTCGCAGCGATTAAAAGTCGTGACGACGGTGTCACGACGAGGTATGCCTTAGGCCTTAGGGTTTCGCGGTCACGCTCAGGGCATGCTTCTCGGCTGGGTGTGGTGCGGAAGGCGACAATCCCCAATTTTGTGCCTTTCAAAAACTCTCCGGTGTCAAAGTGACACCCCGGGGGACTACGGGGGTGGGGGGTGGGGGCAGATACATTACTCAATGCCACAAGTTGAAATCCGTGACAGTCATTGAGACGGATGATACACAAGCTCCATTTTTCGCCGATTGTCGCCTTCCGCGTGCCCCCCTTCTCGGCTCTCTCTCTTCAATCCTTTTGATCTCTCTGACAGCACGCATGCAGGGCTCATCAAACGCAGTGTCGCTTCCATCAGCATCTCCACTCCCGCGCTGGATTCTGCATTTCTTCTGCGAACATGCTCTCTGATCATTTTTCAAGAGCAAGCGTGGGAAAAGCGGAACCTCAATCGATTGGAAGTAATTAAGGAGCACGTTCGCGGAAGAGACGCAGAATCCAGCACGGGGTGGAGATGCTGATGCAAGCCACACTACGTTTGATAAGCCCTGTATGTAGCACAGACCGCAAGCGCTGCGAGGGCGCTACGCCAACAGTTCGGCCTGGTCCCATTGAGCAGAATGTATATATGTATATAATCGCGCCCTGCCATAGCAGATGTCCTGCGCGCCGGTCGAATTTGCATTGGGTCATGGGCGCGCCATTTGTATTTATAGGTACGAGTTGTTGTGAGGGGGGGGGGGATACTGCCTTGTGTTAATGATAGGATGGCTCTTTATCAGCTTAAAAACCAGGTCTCGACTCTCTATTTCTATAAACGTAATCTGCTACAACAAAATGCCATCCGAAGGAAACAAAATTACTAACATTAAGCTAAGAAAGGAGTTCAAGAGATCTTCAACTCACGATGACCATTTTGTTACTATGACCAGATTTTCAGCATAAAATGATTTGCTATGTGTGATCTTATTCTTTCAGCTTGTCACAAAAGCACAGCAACATTTCTGGCTGTATTCTCGAATACTCAATCCGCTGGGTAGAAAATTTTCGTTTTGATAGCATTTTCAACACCTAGGCCTAGAAAAGGCCGCTGCAAAGTCTGAAGAAAGAATTGTTTATGCGGCAAATAAGGACAAAAAAACTTGCGCAGCAAGCAGGTTGACAACCCCTATGTAGTATGCACAGCTTGCATGTCACAGTTCTCTGACTAAGAGACGCGAGCCTGCTTTGCATGCGTTTCATTGACAAGTTCATGAGGGACTAACGCGTTTCGGTTGATTTACCAAATTCTTGTAAGAAAATGTTCGAGCGAGGTTGAACAACAAGAGTTTAAACATGTTCTTTCACGAATTCCTAGTAGTACTTTACCAAAGCGTGTTAAATTTTATAGACTTGTAAACCAGAAGTACGCAAAGCGTGCTCGCGTCTCTTAGTCGGAGAATGAATGATAGAGTCTCTAACTTTGACGCAATGTGTATACTACATAGCGTGTGCAGTGCAAAATACAAATATTTGTTTGGTTTGAACGAAAAAATTCAGGTATTTGAATAAACATAAAGCATACCGCAGAAGGTAAACCTGCTGTGGCGTTTGGACCTTACAGCAATAAATCCAAAGAAAAAAACAAGAATGAGGCGAAATTTAAATGCAATTATCAGAGCCAAACCTTTGCCTTAAGTTTCTGTATAAACGTTTTGGAAGCTCTGATGTCGGGCGTATGTAAATGCGCAAATCCACCGAGCATTCCATCGATGTCCCTGCTAGCATGCGCCCAATACTCTTCGGCCTAAATTGAAATCTTGATATTTCTTGAAGTTTGCAAACGCCAAGACGAGCTAGGCAACGAAATTCGATAGATTAGAACGTGCGTTTCCAAAATCAGTGATCTGTACCTTCTTGTAAACATCTTCGGCATTATCGGGATCAGACAGTGAATGTTTCAACGACATCTGGAGATTCCAGAAACGCCAGCTCGAATTTCTATTGAAGATACGAACGGAATTTGGAAGAATAGTTTCAGTGGTACCTGAGATGAAAGTGAGCATAGAGGTGGCAGAAATCAAGAACTGAAGAATTACCACTTTTGTAAGTGTTAACCCGAGCCCCATGATAAGAGATGAAAATTGCTTGCTCCAAATGCATTGCACTGGGGCAGAGAGTGTCGCTCGGGCAAGTTCAATACTGGTACACTAACAAGGGAAGCGTGTTTAGTCGAAGTGGCCTTTTCAAATGAGATCCATATTGGAAGAGAATTACACGGTGATTCCAAATCTGCCTTCCTAATCTGCCAAGCACCTCTGGACGCCGAGTTATGACCATTTTTTTTGGAACGAAAAATGAATGCAGAATTTAGGTAAAGTCGATTGTTACATTCTTTCCAACGCTCAGATAAAGGAATGTTAAGTATTAGCATATTAGACATAATGTATCCATTGCATAAACTGCTTTGATACTTGATACTGGACCATATGAGCAAATCTGGGCAATTTTGCTTCACTTTTGCATTCAATTTTTTGACCTGAAAAACATTCATAACTCGGTGTCCGGAGGCGCTCGGCAGATCTGGAAGGCAGATTTAAAGTCACCGCTTGATGCTCTTCAAAGCTGTATGAGTCTCATTTGGAAAGGCCACTTCGACTAAACACGCTTCCTTGTAAGGCCCCGCCAGAGTGCGGAAGCCACGCCAGCGCTGCGCCGGCGCCTAGCCAGCACCGAGCTGCCCCGGCGCCGTTTCGATCGATACACATGCATTTCGTTGGGACGGGGCTAGCTGACCTAGTTCTTAGCCAGGTAGATGCACCGACTACTGATCGAATCTGCCCGAAGCTCCGGTAGCCCTTGCCCGCAAAGGGTCAGCTAGCCCGCTCCGAACAAATGAGACAGCTCGGCGCTGGCGTGGCTTCGGCACTCTGGCGGAGGCCTAAGTTTCGACCCGCTTTGGCGGAAATTGGATTGGCGGGAGTCCGCCTCGCAATGGTTCACGCCTTTTTGCAGCTACAGTATCATATCGGCTGAGAACCCAAGTCTGCGTCTCTTCATTCCCCTTAGTCTTAGCTTGGCATGCCAGCGCTTTGCGCTCGCGAAGCCTCTAGCGACGCGCACGCGGTGCTCCACTTCCACTGTTTTGCCTAATCCGGGATAAAACCGACTGTAACGAGGGTCAAGCGTGGTGATGCTATCCGGACCCCCTCTTGTGATCCCCACCCCTCTCTCCTCTCCTCCCCTCTCCACCTTCCCAACCTCGATCCTCGCGCTTTTGCAATAGTCTTGAGGCCGCATGCATGCGGTCTGCATGCATGCATTAACATCCCCACTGGGGGAGGGGGGATCGCACCTTAACAGAAAGCTTCATGTCTTGAAGCTCTGAACTTCTGGATTTCACGCTATCAATCTATCTATAAATGTCCTATCCTTCACTAAGAACTGAATAGGAACGGGAAGCTGTAGAAACTGCATTCCAGCTTTTTGTATGATTCCCTCTGATCCTCGGTGGGCGACAGTCTTTTCTTCGAAAACATTTTTTCTTTCTTCAAAGTTAATACAAACGCGCCAAGTTTTACGGATTATTTAACCGAAGAGTGCTAAGCGCGTTTTGATACGAAGAAACGGTTTTCCAAAAACTCATTTGTTTGAGTGACGATAGTTTGACCCTCCGATTATATACTTTTGACTGTATAAGCTCCTGCAAGCAGAGGTGCGATAGGGGGAGCCAAGTCTCCCCCTACCTTCACTTTTGAGCTGGTACGGGGTGACCACCTTCACTTTTGGAATAAAAAATTTTTCGCTGGACGACAAAGAAGGAAAATAAGCAAAACAAACGCAAAAAAGATTATTGAAAGCATATATTTATGTATACGGCGGCATATATATTTAAAATAAAGGTTTTTAGTAAATGGTGTATTTGGAAGTAAAGCTTAGCAAAACTGTACGGATTTTATTAAGCAAATTATGTTATAACGTATAGCGAAGGAAGTAGGTCGATCCAGGCAGTAACGGCGGAGAACCAGAATTTTGAATATTTAAATAGTGAAAAATCATGCGAAATTTCCACTGTTATAAATCTGTTGTTTGAAGATGTCAGCAGTTGCGACTTCATAGGTTTTGAAGAGTAGATGTTGCTCTATCAGCTAGTGAAGGAATCGGGTCGATTTAAGAGATAGTCGTTGAAAACCAGAGTTCTAAAACTTTACGCCATTTTTGCGTGTTTTTTGACTGTTGAGAGTTAAACTCTTATAAATCTTGAATGTGGAAGTGTATGATGTTGCGACTTCATAGGTTTTATAGAGTAAGGTTTGCCTTATCAGAATATGTCTTGTCCGTTCCGATCCATTGAAACACCTCCGAGATCCAGAGTCATGAAAAAGCAGGTAAAAAAGAGCTTTTTGAACTTCAACAGCTCATAACTTCTTCAGGATTGCACGAATCATGTTGCGACTTCATAGGTTAGATTCTTCTCATCAAGGGCTTTCAGATGATATATAATATGTGGGGGTTTAGAGCCTCCTGCGAATTATGACCGGGGGGGAGACTTTTTAGGCCAAAGTCTCCCCCTCGCCCATTTTAATGTATTGGCTGGAGGCTGCCGGGGGAGACTTTGGCCTAAAAAGTCTCCCCCCCCCCCCCGGGCATATGCCGTAAGAGGCGCGAAACCCCCATATATTATATATCATCTGAAAGCTCTTTACGAGAAGAATCTAACCTATGAAGTCGCAACATGATTCGTGCAATCCTGATGAAGTTATGAGCTGTTGAAGTTCAAAAAGCTCTTTTTTACCTGCTTTTTCATGACTCTGGATCTCGGAGGTGTTTCAATGGATCGGAACGGACAAGACATATTCTGATAAGGCAAACCTTACTCTATAAAACCTATGAAGTCGCAACATCATACACTTCCACATTCAAGATTTATAAGAGTTTAACTCTCAACAGTCAAAAAACACGCAAAAATGGCGTAAAGTTTTAGAACTCTGGTTTTCAACGACTATCTCTTAAATCGACAAGATTCCTTCACTAGCTGATAGAGCAACATTTACTCTTTAAAACCTATGAAGTCGCAACTGCTGACATCTTCAAACAACAGATTTATAACAGTGGAAATTTTGCATGATTTTTCACTATTTATTTATTCGAAATTCTGATTCTCGGCCGTTACTGCCTGGATCGATCTACTTTCTTCGCTGTACGTTATAACAAAATTTGCTTAATAAAATCCGTACAGTCCAACAAACTTCTACTTCCAAAAACACCATTTACTAAACACGTCTATTTTAAATTTTTATAAATAAAATTTATAGATATTTTTAATATTCATCGTATCTGTGGCCCTAAAGAGGGCCGTTGGGTCGACGTTAGACCTAGAAAGATAGCTCCGTTCGTCCGTTCTATCCTCCCCCCGCACCTCCCCCCACCCCCCCCCCCCCCCCCCGTCGACGTTTTTGGGAGGTGAGTGTCCGACACTACCACCTTCACTTTTGGCCGGCCAGTGGTAGCTGAAACCACCTTCACTTTTGGGGGACCCGGCTCCCCCTATCGCACCTCTGCCTGCAAGACGAAGGCGGTCGGTTCGATGTGTGACGTAGCTGTGACGCGGCTGTGACGCAGCCGTGTCGCAGCCGCGTTGCATATCGAACCGACCGCCTTCGTCTTGCAGGAGCTTATAGGTAGCTGCAATTGTATGTTTAAGGCGCGTTATCTCTAGTTTCTAGAATTCAGGATGTTGTGGCAGATCACTACATAACATATAAGGATTTCATGTTTACCAATTGGCCACCCCTGATCCGTGGAACACGGCAAACGAGGAGACAGCAGACGGAGAAATTATGATGAAATGTACAGATGTTCATCCTTGGATTGCTGCCAAGTGGCATGCGTTTTGAAACGCTGCCGCTTGGTAGCGTTTCAAAACCCATGCCACTTGGCAGCAAAAATTCATAATGAGTGACCAAGCAGTTTTTCGTAAAAGGATCACACGTATTTCGAAAGGCAATCATGAGTGTCGCAATGATTTCGAGACTGGGTCACCACTGTCCGGATATGTTATTTGTACTTGCTTTTTTTCAAAGTGTTATCCCAAAATGTGTCTTTCAAATATGTTGTACTCCCATTAGTTGCTTTTGAAATGATGTCAAATTGCGTAACAGCGTAACTTGAACTAAATTCCTCTATGTTCTCAACTCTTTGTAAAAAATGTTCTGACTAAGAACAGACACGTACTTAAATCTACACATGGCTGCGCAAAGCGCGCCCCATGACCCGGTACTAAATTAGCCGGCGCGCATGGTCTACAATGCCGGAGCACGCTAGATACTATGAACATGATGATTTTATGCATACAGTGAAGGCAATATAACCGAAGATTCTTTGCATACGGTGGAATCAATGTAATCAGTGATTCTTTGCACATCTACATAGTAGATAAGCAAAGAAACATTGGTTACATTGCTTGATCATGGTGGAAATGTGACCACTATGGCCTGCGCAAGGTTGCATTTATAACATGGGGTATTTGTACAAATACAATTTCCCGATGGTTGAGTACTGTGCTTATGGGATGACGGATGCTTGTTTGTTCCATCTCATTTGGTGCAAAATAACATTTCGGATTTACTTGCCCATTTAATAGAGCGTTAGACAGTCACACTGATATGTTATAGTATGTTCTCTGATTATAAAACGTGGGCATTGAAATCATGAACATTCTAGCCACACTGGTAAACATCATAACAAACCTGTGTGGCGTACAAAATGTTCATAATTTCAAGTCACACTGATATTTTTGTTGGCATGCGTTCGCTTTTCATTGCACAGATGTTAATTGTAACTTAAGAAAAACAGGAGCAGGACTTTCTTGATCAAGAACCATCTCGTTCATGCCTTCAGATGGATTGTTGAAAGAGTCAAATATGGGTCACTTTGTCACCACCAAAACTTATAGGCCAAATTCTATCTGAAGAAAACGTAAATGCGGTTTCACACAATCAGTTTCGAGAATTGTTGTTTAACAATGATGGGTGCCTTGCAAAGACCATGGACGAAATTAGTTTGGAGATACTATCCACTAATCTTCAGGTTCTTCACGTTTTGTTCGGAGCACACAGAGCATGCGTTTTTACAAACTAAGTTGTCATTACTTACAAACAGTT